AGCACACAGCTTTGCCTGCCATATTTAGGACTTTTTTTTTTTTTTTTTTTTTGATCAAGGAGCAAATTCAACACCACTCTTGCAAGCTGATTTGTGAGTTTACGTTTTCTTCATGAATGCTGCATTGATGTCAGTCAGCTATTGAGGGGTTAGCTCCTGGTTGGTGGTGCTTCTGTAACAGAGGTCTAGCAGTTAAGAATTTACTTTTCTTCAGATACAGGATATGTTTGGGCATGTACTCTTCACCATTTTCCTTGCAAAATTAACTTCAGTCACTTTCAGATGTAATTCAAAATACTTACTTATCAGGTCTCACAGAGTCACTCACTGAAGTTGTTGCTCATCTACAAGGGTTGTCTAGTCCAACCTCATCCTTAGACAGGGTTACCTACAGCAGGTAGCTCAAGGCTGTGGCTCATGAATTTTTAAATATCTCCACAGATGGAGACTCCACAGTGACTTTCTGCAACTAAATTTATTTTTTTCTAATATTTAAATTGTATTCCCTATACATAAGTTTGTACACATTATCTCTTTTCCTGTCACTGGGTACCTGTCTGTCACCCTCATATTCATTCTGTTTCATTGGGTGTTTACACATACTACTGGAACCCCTTGAACCTTCTCTTCTCCAGGCTAAGCAGTTCCTGCTCTCTTGGGCTCTTCTTATGTCAAAGATCCTTGAGCATCCTAAATGTCTTCATGGCTGTCTCACTTCTTTGCTGTCTCATTCCAGCAGCTCCATCTCTCTTTTGTGTCTTGAAGCCCAGAACTGGGTGGATCACTCCAAATTTAGTCACAACAGGGCTGAGTAGATGGGAAGGATCTTTAACCTTTTGTCAACAGTGCTCCTAATGCAGCCCAGAAGACAGCCTTCTCTGCTTCAGAGGTCATGGTCAGCTTGTTGTCCACCATGACACCAAAACCTTCACTATAAAACTGCTTTCCAGACAGATGATTTGCTATTTTGCTGGGGAATGTCTCCCACAGGTACCTGAACAGCCATATTACTCTTTTTCAGGTGCTTAAGGATGATTTAACCCAGCAAAGCTCACACTAATCTGTATGTCATATTTTAACCTGAACCAGCACCAGGCACCATGCAACTGTTCACTCACCTCCCCACCAGCTAGAAAACTTGTTGGTTTGAGATAAAGGCAACAAGGAAAGCAAAAGCCATACATGCAAGTAATGCAAAACAAGCAATTAATTCACTGGTTCCCATGAGCAGGCAGGTGTTTTGCATTTCCAGGACAGCAGGGCACTCTCATGCCTCACAGCGACTTGGGAAGACAAACATCACTCAGATGTTCTCTCCTCCCTCCTTCTTGCACCCAACTTTAAATACTGTTCTGGAACATCCCTTTGGTCAGTTTTAGTGACCTGTCATGCCCATGTCCCCTCCCAATTTTTCATTCACCCCCAGCTTCCTCACCAGCGTGGCAGTACAAAAAGCAGAAAAGGCCTCGTCTCTGTATAAGCCCTGCTCGGCAGTAACAAAAATGTCTCTTTCATAACTGTATTCAGCACAAATCCAAAGTGCAACCCATAAGTAGGTCTCTCTGAAGAAAATTAACTCTACCTTGGCCAAAACCAGCACATCATAGCTGAGTGCACCCATAGTATTTGGCTTAACACCTGACTGTTTAGCTATTCAGCCTGTATGGACTAAGGGAATTGCTATTACTTTGAAATAACTGCCATGCCACTTGTTTTCACACCACTTCTGGGATTTTTTTTTCATGAAAAGTTTTTTTGTTCTTTGAGGGCAGGGCCCTGTTCGTAACCAGAAAGGTGACAGTTGGCAAATGTTGTCCTGGAGTTTTAGCTGTTTCTGTTTCCTTTCTGTAGCCTTGCCTAAAGATGTTAGAAATAGATTGAAACTCTATACTGATTAATGAATAGTGTGTCAGTCTCTGACTTCTCTTTGTGTCAAGCTATATGTCATGAGTATTTCATGAGTGTGAAAGGCAAAAAGACAAAATAAAGACAAAACCCCCAGGTTTATCATACAAATAGATTAAGTATGTCCATCCTCTGTTTCCTTGGAAGCTTCAAAACTGGCTTAAGGACAGAACAACTACTCCTTCCTTTTGCTTGTGGCCATAACTGATGACCTCAGTTGCACATAGATGAATTCTCTGGAGTCCTTCCTGGTGAACTTATAAAACCATAAGCTCTTATCCAGGGAATGTTAACAACAACATGCTTAGGATGAAGAACAAAGGAGATGGGGAAAAAGCTTTTCTAAAAGTAACATAAGAGTCCTTAGTTAAAATTTTGGTTCTCATAACATATTTCCTTCCAATTAGTTAACAGTGATTGTGGTTCTCATAATACATTTTATTCCAGTTAGTTAACAGTGATACCACAGTGCAGCATTTTGAATACTTAGAAGATGACTTTGAAATCAGAGGTGAATTAAGAGAATCTATGAGGATCCTGATCCATTCTTGTTCTTCTTAGTGTCCTGTATGCTGAATAATTGCAGAACAAAATTCCTTATGTATTTAAAAGCTTGGTCCTGCCTAAAAAATAAAATAAAATTATGCAATTTTATCACTTCTTATGTGATGAGCTGAGCTGACATTGTAGCTTAATGATAGCCTAGAAGTAGTGCTTAGAATGGAAAAAAATATCTCTGTTGCTGAATTCTGTTTCCTAAGTAACTGGAGTATTATGCTGTCTGGTTAGCTCTAACTGGAGAGAAGCTACAAAGGGATAAACTTGATAGATTATTGGACCCAAACCAGTTTGATAATCAGTGGAGAAATCTTTTGAGGGGGACCCAGAAGTTAAAGGTGTTAGTGAGATTTGTGATCACTGGTGTTTGCACAAAAAGGCTGCTTAGAGAGATTCCTGCAGTAGGTATATGTGACACAACTAAGCTGTATTTCCTTTTTGCTTGCTGTGAAGTTTTAGCTTACTTGCAATTTCAGTTAGCCTTCCTTGCACTACAGGAAAGAAATTGCCAGATGGTCTGGTAAATTTTCCATCAATATGCAGGAGTTTCTGTGTTACTCTGATCCTGCAATGAAGGATGCAAAATGGTGGTAGAGGAAGGCTGACAGTAGACAGGGACGATGAGTATTCCAGGTGGGGTTTATCTGGGGTCCTTAGGTGTCTTTTTTTTTTTTAAGCCACAGATTTCCTAGCAATGGAAGCGTCAAGAGGTTTGTGGTTAGGCAGCTGAATACAGACATTCATGTTTACTGTTGTTATTTCTGACCTGGCAAAAAAATCCCCAACACTGTGTATTACAACCAGATCTTGTAAGGCTTAAAATTACCTGTTTCTCCATGCTTCTCTGTGGGAGATGTAAAGGTGACATTTCTCTGTCACATTTTGGAGGATTGGAGGCTTGTTTTTGATTCAGGGTTGCTTTCAGCTTAGGGTTATGGGAAAACATTTAACCTGGAAAAGAAGTGTGGAGAAAAAAGGGACCTGCTTACCTCTTTACAAATTCCTTGATGGTTATTAGAAGCAATAGTTGATCTGATAAGTGCCATCACTATGGCAATTCATGAGGAATCATTGTGACAGGTTGCAGATGTTTCTTTCCTTAAGGATTAAAGTTTCACAATCACTATCCCAGGAACTGATGTGGAAAGCAAGAACAATCACAGTCCTCTAGCAGTGTTGACACACGAACAGTAATTTATAAAGGGTTGTGAAAACCTCTTTCCTTCATTTAGACTTTGATGAAACCAACAATTAATTGGCAGGTCTTTGATACTGTCTCCTTCCAGCCCAAGCTTTTGTAAAGGCCAGAAATCTTTGCTTTATGGAAAACAAGAGATGTTGAATATGTGTAGTTGGGACTATATGTAAGAACAAGGCTGTCTCAGATTAAATCAGTTAAATCTCAGCCAGTGACGAGCGAATATGGAGGTGTCCTGACTCAGCATCTAAGGACCTGCAGTGTTTTTCCAGGATGAAGGAACCTCTTTTAGTAAAAGATGCAGAGGGTTTTCCTGCTGCAGACAAGGTCCAACACTGCTTCCAAAGGATATGTGTCTTCTCTACATCCATGTAACCAGGCTTGATCCTACTGCTGCCCTGCAGTGCCCTGAAGATGTTGCATCACAGTACATGCTCTTCCCCTTTCCTCAGTCACTGTTTTTCTTCCTGGCTGGATGATTGACCGTCATTTGCTAATAAAATGTCTCTGAAACACAGGATAAATTTGTTTATGCAGCACTTTGGGGATAAAAGGGCATGCAGGAAACCTTCTCCTCATTTGCATGGTTGTGCAAGGGCTTTGCACAACAATAAAAAACTGCCTCAGGAGCACACAGGGAATGAAAATTTGGGAACAATGTGTATTCAGCAGTGAAACAAGACAAAGCCGTGATCTCACCTAGGTACTAAGCATTAGAGGTGGTGTTGTCCCAGAACTGATGAGAGACATGAAGAGATGCTGCTTCTTTCTGATCCACGGTAGGAGCCTAGAATTCATCAGCTCCAACTGTTTGATAATGCCATGTGGTCCTACCTGTCATAGGATGTGTAATTTCTGACAACAGTTAAGAGTGTAATTACTCATACCTGCAATCAAGATTTCAAATTCCTTTCCCAGCCCTGATGTCATTTTGTTCTGGATTTATTACCTACCTATTACATTAAAGACCCTTCAAAATCAATCTTCAGTCACTTGGCTGAGCTGATAAAGTGAAAACATAGTGTGGATGGCAGCTTGTCCTTTTCAGGACTGCAAACAAACTGTGCTGCCATCATGCAAATCTACAAATTTGGTCTCTTCCTTTTGCTGCTGTGCTTCTCCTGCTGGTGCCAGGTAACTTACCTGATCAGGTTAAGTGCTTTGCCCACCTCCTTCCCGGGGGGAGAGTGTGCTGCCTCCCCAGTGAAAGGAGAAACCTTTCCAGATGCAGAGGGAATGACAGATGGCTCTGAGTGTGGGGAAGGAGAGAGTTGTCATCTGGGAGGGGGGTGTCTCACCACATTCTGGCAGGGCTGATTTTCTCTTGTGCTTTCTCTAGGGGCTACCAAAGACATGGGAAAGATGCTGGGTGGGGATGAGGAGAAAGACCCAGATGCCGCTAAGAAAGAAGAGGAACGACAGGAAGCCCTTCGGCAACAAGAGGAAGAGAGGAAAGCCAAATATGCCAAGATGGAGGCTGAAAGAGAAGTTATGAGACAAGGGATTCGGGACAAGGTAGGTAACTGGCTTTCAATACACACTGGTCAACTTGTAATTCCCAGTGAAGAGCACCTGTTTTCAGCTGATTTGTGACTAGTTCCCTTCCCTAGGCATCTGGATAGAACCAGGTAACTACTCTGCCACACTGAACTTTCTAATTTTGTGCACTCTTCCTCAAGCCTGTTCCTGTTTAAATACACCTCCCTGAGAGCAAAGCCCTGCAAAGCTGAAATAGAGAGTGAGGGTGAGGAGAGAAACCCACCTATTTTTCTCATCATCTATTAAGCACTCACAATATATGAAGTATTAGATGGTTCCTTGACCATTTGAGGATGCTTTCCAAGCTTGCATTTGCGGTTTGTGAGAAGAGTCATAATTCGGTGAGTTTCTGACAGTGAGTTTCTGTCACAGGTATCTTCTGTATTGATTCCAAAGCTTTATTGTGTTGACCAGTGATATGGGACAAATCTACTCTACTGTTTATATTTAGGCTTCTACCACTCACATGGGATTCATCTGAAAGAAAGTTTTTAAACATTAACTGTTAGGGATTGATGTGTGGAGGGAGAAGACAGTTTTGATGCCTCACCCTCAGGGCCAGGTCAAAGATGTCTCTTTAGAATAACACATTTGTAAGAAGATCTCGTGGTATTCAGATATCTTGGAAAGAAATGTGGGCAATGGTTGGACAAGGAGTTTCTAATGATGAAGGCCTGTCAGGTGACTTTCATCATGTGCAAAAGAAAATACCTGTAGATTAAACAAGAAAATCTTGCTTAATATAAGAGGTGTTGTCCTGTGCAGTTCCTACCTCTGTGCTCTAAGAACATGTCTCAGAACAGACATAAGCAAAACGATATGTGCATTGGGCCAAACTTCTGACCCAGTTCTTACGATTCATGATGGAAGCATGAATGAGAGTAAATTTCTCTGGAGGCACAGTGCAGCTTGCAAAGAGTTACTGCAAATTGTTCTGCAAATAAAGAAATTTGAAATTATGCTTCTAAGAAAAGAAAGGACTTAAAGGGAATTGTCTACCTTTGACACTGCCAGAGAAAGGTAACCATATGACCATTTAAAAGAGGCTACTGGTTAACAGAAATGCAGAACCTCTACCTGGTCAAAAATTGTTTTATAATCATGGAATCATAGAATTGACAAATGGTTTGGGTTGGAAGGACCTTAAAGATCATCTAGTTCCAACCCCTCTACCATGGGTAAGGACATTTTTCACTAGATCAGTCTGCTCAGAGCCCCATCCCACTTGGCCTTTAAGACTTCCAGGGATGGGGCAGCCACAGCTTCTCTGGCAACCTATTCCACATCTGAGGAAAGAGTTTCTTCCTGATATCTAATCTAAACCCATCCTCTTCTAATTTAAAAACCTTTCCCTCGTCCTGTCACTGTGTTCTTCTCTCTCATTTTTATAAGCCCAGTCAAGGTGTGGAAGTTTGCTATGAAGTCTCCCCGGAGCCCTCCCAGGCTGAACAACCCCAGCAATAATGTATTTAATGAATGTATATCTAGAGAATATCAATGTGTGCATAATATGTTGAATGTGTGTTTACAATAGAACTGTTTCTAAGCAATGACAGAAGTCACGAGGGAAAAGAAAAAGAGTAGTAAATTTCTCAGTTGTAGGAAAATGAGCTAATACCCAGTTTTCACTGGTGACTGTCTCTTCTGGACCACTGAATTGTTCTCAGATGTAGATAGGGGTTGCCTTTTTCTTGCTGTTGGGAAAACTGCTGTAAAAGCATTGAAAAAAGTCTGAGATGTTCTGTGTTACCATTTCAAGGTGATGTGATTCATGAGTAGGATGCATACATGCATGTGATCCTGGCAACTGTCTGGACTTTGCTGAGCTGGCTGAGCACTGAGTGGCAAAATCTCTTAGAAATGCACTGAATCCTTGAAAATTTGTAAAGGAGTTAGCTCTGAAGAAAAGGAGAACAGGAATACTTGGAGGAACATTATTTGACCTCAGTCAAGGCTCTGGACTGGTGTGGTGGAGTACCTTTGAGATTAATATCAGGAAGTCCTGCTTTGGGCAGGGCATCTGGATTGTGAACTCTTTTTCCTGTGGTTTTCTTTTTCTTGGGAATAATCCCAAGTAGGATGCATTTGAAAGATGAAGGTGTTTTCTGCAGAATCAGAAAAAAAATGGATAAATCTGTAGAAAGAAGCTGTATCTCTTCCTCTTTCTCTTCCTCTTCTCACCTTGTCCTGACAAAGAGATGGATTTGATGATATACAAGACTGTCTTCTAGTGTGATGATTAGTTGTTGGAAATATGAAACAAATGTTGAAAGAATTCAAAAAGAGCTGGATTATTTCCTTCATTACTTGATTATTTAGCAGTTGCTTTCATGTCTTCTCTAACTCCAGTAAAAGCAAAAATGCAGAAAAGAAGAAAACTGAAACACGTCTGCTATGTATACAAGTACAAGTTGCTGTTAGCAGGTATGAATAAAATCGAAGACATTTTAAGTTAGAGAGCTCTGTTATGATATTTGCTCATTTCTCGTGTGAGAGAGTGAAAAATGAGCAATTAGTTCGAGCGACTGAATAGGAACAGATTATTTATGCAGAATAAAAGTTTGAAAGTGTGTGTCATAGGCTATGAACCCACAGTCACAAATATTCCTTAGTGCAGCTGCAGGATGTTAGGGAGGCAAACCAGGGAATCACAGCTTCACCAGTGGGTTCATATGGCTCTAGGTGAGGCTGGCAGAAAGGATGGACTCATCATGTTTGTTGTTTTTGTCTTTTCGCCTTGGCTTTCCAACAGGTGTTATGAAAGCACTCTCTTGTTTAGGGCTTCAGGAAATGTGGGAGCTGTGGTAGAGCTTAAAAGGAAGGATGACAGATATCACAGATACATTCCAGCCTGTGTTAACTTTTAAATCCAGTCTGTTAAATTAAGACATGTATGCCCTCAACCTGGCATGGCAGCTGAGTATAGAAATCACTTAGGGAGAAGGTAGTATGAATTACACAGAAATTACTTGTTTGGGTTCCTTGCCCCCC